ACATCCTTAATTTAAAGTTTAATCGTAAACAAATCTACTAGAATTTTGTTAATCCTACCGTTTTTAAAAGCTGGTAAAACCCTTTTTTTAAGAAAAAAAATCTAACTTCGAAAGAGTCTAATATAGATTGTGTTTACCCCTAAAATGAGCAATAATTAAAGTTTAAAGGATATATGGTTTAATTTAATACGAATAATCAAGAACAACAATTAAATGAGTAAAAAATAAAATAAACGATCAAATCAATCACAATATGGTGATCCAACCTGATCTTAGGTTGAACAGTGGAATTTGTCCTCGATTGGACCTTCGATACAAGCTCGGTCGCCCGTGAGAACTGTTACGCGGCGCCTTCCTGAGATTCCTTGGAAGGACGACGTAAGGCTAGGCAACTGATGTCAGTGCAGTTGCTGTCCGCCAACTGAGGTCCCCTCCATACGCTAGACGAGATTGTCAGTGCCGTACGGGAAAACCAATGTCAAGAGCAATTGAGAGAACAGAAATGAGAATTCAGAATGAAAGAAAGCTTGATTGCATTAATGAAAGCTATTACAGAAAAGCAACGCGGTGTCGAGGGGGAGAGACACCAGTACAGAGAATTGCTTGCTTGCTAGAAAGTTTTGATTGCTTGATCCCCCCTAATAGTACTTAAAAAAAATAATCCAAAGTTACAAGACTAGACTTGACTAAGCTAGAGAAACATAATGGAAGTACATGAAATAAAACTACTCTATATTTACAATGAAAATGACTTAGTTTTCTATAAGGCAGCAGCAGGTCCGTTGTCAGCAGCAGTGTCTTTGGCATCACGGTCTGCGCGCGCGGCGTTGTCTGCACGCGCGGCGCTGTTGGCTTCTGCCTGCGGCTTGGCGCTCGCGAGGGATATCGGTGGGGCGACAGAGGCACCTGCGCGCTTGTCACTTGGCGCGGCCAAGACCACGGGGCCGTCCGTGGCGCTAGGCATTGGGAGGTTCGCTAGGACGCCACGGGGCACGCCCAAGGGGTTATGGGGCATGGCTGGAAAGCCGCCCATGACACTGCGCATGAAAAGGTCAATTAGGCGAAGCTTTATATGGGCTGCCGCTTAGTTGCCTCACTTTGATTCCTTTTCTTGTCTTTCTTTCGACAAACAGTAATTGCCTATCCTTTATTTCTCATATAAGTCATGACGACCTATGCCAATTGCTATCTTTTTCCCTGGTTTAACAATCTATTAATCAAAATTCACTTGTTCGATCAATATCCCGAAATCGTGCTGTATATAAGTTTTAACAACAAGAAATGCATCACTGATCATGTTATTTCATATAAACTTGTCTTTGGCCATTATTATACAGAATAAAAATATAAAAATAAAGCGTATGTATAAATCTCTAAAAGGCTAAATAACGCCTAGAAAAACATAGAACGTAAAGTAAAAAGTGCTAGCATGACTAAAAAATAGTCTTAACGAAAAGGTATTACTTATATTTTTGTTCCCTCATTGTGTCCTATCTTTCACTAAATATATTTAAATCTTTAAG